CTTTAATCCCAGCACTCGGGAGGCAGAGGCAGGCGGATCTCTGTGAGTTCAAGGCCAGCCTGGACTACCAAGTGAGTCCCAGGAAAGGCACAAAGCTACACAGAGAAACCCTGTCTCGAAAAAAAAAAATATTTTAAAAAATAAATAAATAAACCAGGGACAAATGCTGGACATCCAAACTCCACAGGAAGCCATGGTAGTAGAGCATTTGCCTCACCAGGGAAGGCTTCCCTGCAGGAATGATTGCTAAGCAGACCCCCCAAGAATTAGTGAAAGTTAGTTAAGAGAGGTGAACAAGAGAAGAGAATGTCAGATATGCAGAAGCGTCATCGTAAGGGACTAGGAGATGGGGAGGATTTAAACCCCCATGGCTGTGACTAGGAGATGGGGAGGATTTAACAACCCGCCCCCCACCCCCACCCCGTGGCTGTGTTCTTCAAATGAAGAGGTCAAGGACACTCCAGGGCTAGATCATAATGTGAGAAACCCATGGTCCCACATGTGGAATCCCATCTTGCACAGAAAGAACAGCAGTCGCCCTGGTGGGTTTTCATCTCAGCTGGGAGGAGACAGGGATTTGCATGGTTTGTTTCTCATTTTAACAAGGTCACTCTGACTGCAATATGGAGAAGGCTTCCAGAGATTAGCATAGATGCCACGTGTAAAGCCCTTGCCCAAGTCTAAAAGAGAATGTAGAATAGACATGAAGAGAACTGGAGAACTGAGGAAGGCTTTTAGAGATTGACAGGCTCTAATGATGGGGTGGGCGAAGGAAATGAAGGACAGGAGGGGAGCTGCTATTTGATGAATGACTCCTAGTCTCTGTTTTACTTAGATGAGTGGATGGAGGTACCATTCATCAAGATAGGATGAGGACATGGTTTGAGGAAGAATGTTGGTTTGGTTTGTTGCCTGTTAGGTTGTATGACCCCTGAGACATCTAAAAAGTGTCAAAAAGGAGAAGACACAGGGCTTGGAGAGGGTATCTGTCATGGCGCCGGTGTGTGGGTTCATGAGTGTCCATTGAATGAAGACTCAGAGGTACCTTAAGAATGAATCTAGGAACTGAAGAGATAGCTCAGTGATTCTTCCAGAGGACCTGGGTTCAATTTCCAGCACCCACATGGCTGCTCACAACTGTCTGTAACTCCAGATCTAGGGTGCTAAAACACCAATGTACATAAAATAAATATTGAAAAAAAAAAAAAAGAATGAAGCTAGCCTTTCATGACTGCAGGGGAATCCAGCCTTTAAGGATTGAAGTCTTTCCCTTCGCCCAGGGCATTTTTATTTTTCTCCATATTTACACTTTTGCCAGTTGATTTCCATATGTTCAAAACAACCTGAAAGAAGCTTCCAAAAATACAATGCCAAGTACAAATTTCTAGATTCATCAGGTTCCAGAGTTTTCTGGGTTTCCTGAATCAAGTTTTGCATAGGCTTTGTATCCTTGGGAGACTCTCAGATAAGATGCACACAGAGCAACAAGAGAAGCAAAGGGTAACCGAGAAACAAAAGATGAATTGAGGCTAGGTGCTAGCACTCTGGAGCCAGAGCAGGTGCAGGCCAGCGGGGATTCTCCCCCAGGTTTCTGTCTGTTATACTCATAACGGTATGAGATCCCAGAGGAAGAAGAGGTTTCAGGATGGATCTGTGAGTAACACCAAGCTTTGGTAACTCAGAAAACATAGAGGAACAGACGCCATAAAGACACAGGAAGATGATCCAGCACAAAAGGAAGTGGGGGCAAAGTCAAGCTTGCTGAAGGTCGGTTGTCTGGTAAAATATGATTGCAAATGCCTCTTGGCCTCAAGTATCATTTTTGACTTTAGCAGCTCTGTTTCATTTCTGGCAGAGACTTGGTCCCAATGAGCTTTGAGACTCTCACCAGCTAATTCTACTTGTTGTTACTTTCTTCATCTGGAAAATAAGAGGCCACATTGGTGGTTCTCAAACTCTGGCTAAGCAGCTGGAAAACAGTGTACAGCATAGTTTTGGGGTTGTTTCTGCAGTGCTTGAATGAGACCTATGCATGCTGGGTAGACACTTAGCCACTGAGTTGCAAGCCCAGCTCCAACTCTAGTTATTTAAAGGTTAAATTATGATATCAAACTGCCTGGGTTTGGATTCCCACTCTAACCCTGACCTACTAAAGAAAGCTAGGCGAGGTCCTTAGCCCCTCTCTATACCCATGTTTCTTCATTGTCCAAAGGGGTCATAATGGTGCCTCCTCTATAGGTTCAGGAGAATATTTCAAATGTAGTTTGTATTGTTAATACATTTCTTTCTTAACTAACTGGATGAAATGTGTGCTTCTTGAGGAGAAGCAAGAGATGCGGTCATTTAGTCTGTGTGTCTCATCCTTGCTTCAACCGAATATTTCCAGTCAGATTTATATATATAATTATGGTTTTGTGTCAACTGAATTTCAATGTTAACGAACACATCTGACATTTTCCCACCAACTGCAAAAGTCTACACATTTGTGAGCTCAATGCTTACAGAACAAGGCTTTCCAACCTTTGCTATGTATGTGAGTCACGTGGGCATCTGACCTGGTAGGTCTATCAAGTTCCTTGGAAGGTCAAGGTCACCTGGTCTTGAACGAACCACACTGTGACGCTACAGAAGTCTGTGACATTTTTTTCCTCAAGCACAGCCATTTGTCTGGTCAGTGTATGGAGCCCGACATGAGGACAGGTTGGTTCTTGGTCTCTGAAGCGTGATTTCTCTGGTACAGGACACCACAAAGTAGGTGTCTGCAAAGTGGCCCATTGTCAGCCATTGTTGATGGGAATGTGGATGGTACCTGCAGAAGTGGCCTGCTGTGCTGACTGCCCTCATGTGTATTCCCAAACAGGTGCCTGCAGAACTACATTCCAGCCCACAGCTTAACCCTCTCCTGCCCGGTGTGTCGCCAGACCTCCATCCTGCCTGAGAAAGGGGTGGCTGCATTGCAGAACAACTTCTTTATCACAAACCTCATGGACGTGCTGCAGCGAACGCCCGGCAGCAATGGCGAGGACTCTTCCATCCTGGAGACGGTCACTGCTGTGGCTGCAGGAAAGCCACTTTCGTGCCCAAACCATGATGGGAATGTAAGTGAGGCAGACAGCAGGCTGCCTGGGGGACATGGTGGCTGTGGCCTTGGGTAGGCTTCAGGTACACACCTCAGAGAGTCTTCATTAAAGCAAAGATTATTAATAATATATTAATAACAGTCTGAGAAATGACTAATTAAAAACAAGTTTTTGACCACCCTCAGACTCTTTTTCCTACTCACTTTCTCTAACCAGAGTTATTTATGGCATAAAATCCGTCTTCATCATCTCTACTTGGAATATATTGTTGTGGTCCTCAGGAGAAAGAGTCAGTTGCTGCTTCCAAGCTAAGCACACTCTGACACAACACGCAAGTCAAAAATCATGGATACGGATTTAATAGCAGACAAGCTCTACAAATTGAAAGTGATTGCTAAAATGCTAATTAATTACAGCTTATTTTTCTTGGAGAAGAATTTTCCTCATGTCTTAGATCCTACTCCTTAGGAAGGAAGAAATGAAGTTCTGTCCATCTCTGATAAAGACTACAGATTGTGAGTTGCAAATGTACTTCCTGCTTCTAGCAAGCAGAATAACTGTTATAAATGCAAATGGGCCTATAAGACTCATCAAATAACTGACTCACAGTAGCTCTGTGCCTGGAAGGGACAGGGTAATGTCACAGCTAGAAGCACAGGTTTGTGAGTCAGCCTGGCTGATTCAAACCCTGCCTTAAAACACATTTCCTGCCTCCTCAGCTTTAGTGAGTTTATTAAACTCTCGCTCCCTTTTCTGTGTAAAGGAAGTAATAACGGTTTTTACCAAATAGAATTATTCAAAATTGGAAAATGAAATGTTTTGATGATATAAAGCGCATAGTAAGCTCTCAGTAAAGGTTAGCTGTTAAAATTATTTCTTGATCCAGGCGTGGTGTGCATACCTATAATCCTAGCACTCGAGAAGCTGAGAGAGAAGGATGATGAGTCTGAGACCAGCCTTGGCAATACAGAGAGACTCTCTAAAAATACATACATACTTCTTAGAGGTTGGATTGTAGCTCAGTGGTAGATTGCATGCCTAGTATCTTAGTTAATTTCCTATTGCTGTGATAAAACACTATGACCAAGGCAGCTTATAAAAGAAAGCATTTCATTTGGGGCTTGGGTTTCAGAGTGTTAGAGTCCATGACTATTATGGCAGGGAGCATGGCAGCAGACAGGCAGGCATGATGCTGGAGCAGTAGCTAAGATCTCATATCTTTAGACACAACCATAACTGTGAGGTAGATAGAGGGACAGGGAATCTTATGAGTCTTTTTGTTTTGTTTTGTTTTTTGAGACAGTGTTTTACTGTGTAGCCTTGGCTGTCCTGGAATTTTCTCTGTACACCAGGCTGACCTTAAACTCACCTACCTCTGCATCCCAAGTACTGGGATTAAAGGTGTATGTCACCACTGCCTGGCTCACAGGAGTCGTTTGAAACCTCAGAGCCTCTTCTCAGTGACACACCTCCTTTAACAAGGCCAAACCTCTTAATCCTTCCCGAACGGTTCCACCAGCTGGGGACCAAGCATTCAAATACATGAGCCTATGGAGGCCATTCTCATTCCAACCATTATACCTATCATGGGAAAGTCTCTGGATTCAATTCCTGGCACTGCTCCCTGTATTAGATGATGATGATGATGATGATGATGATGATGATGATGATGATGATCATGGGAAAGTCTCTGGATTCAATTCCTGGCACTGCTCCCTGTATTAGATGATGATGATGATGATGATGATGATGATGATGATGATGATGATGATGATGATGTGGTGGTGGTGGTGGTGGTGGTGGTGGTGATTTGGTGTTAGGAATCAAACCCAGGGCTTTCTGAATGCTCATGCCCTGTCACTGAACTATACCTCCATCCCTAATGCTATATTCATTCTAAGCAGTGACTTTATTCACTGTTCCCCTTAAACTGGCCACTTAAGAAGTGTTTGAAGCTAATTGTAATATAAACCCCACCCCCAGTGTATTATAAACCACCAGCAGCGCAAGTGGTTGTTAGAGCCGAGCATTCTTCCTCAGCCGTTGACTGCTTCTCTCACTGCACTCGCCCACTCTGCTTCAGCCGGCCTGGCCTCCTTAACCTCCTCAGTGGCATTTCTGCCTTCAGCTGGCTGTCCCATTCCTTCTTCCCGCGGTGTCCCATGCCTTCTCTCCTGTGGCTTGTTTGCCCTTCACCTCCATTCCCCATTTCCTTCCCAGAAATTCTTTTCTAGCTACACTCTCTGAGGCAAGCCACCTCTTTTTTGAGACAGGGTCTCACTATGCACTCCTCACTGGTCTAGAACTGTCTATGTAGACCAGGCTGGCCTTGAACTCATGGAGATATGCCTGCCTCTGCCTTCTGAGTACTGGGAAGAAAGGCATGTGCCATCATGTCCAGCCACCTCTTGATAGCAATTTACCTTCATCATGTCACTTCCTATTCTGCCCTATGGCAATCATAATGTCATCTGTGGGCTGTTTGTTCATTGGTCTTGGAGCTCTCCCTCTAGAATGAGTTCAAGTGGGCAGAGACCTTAGCGCTGAGAATTGTATCTTCAGCAGACTGCTGCACAGATTTGCCAGACACCCGCACTCGGCTTCCCAACGCAGTCTGCAAGGCACCTGTAAGTGACCCTTCCTTATCCATAGACAGAGAGTCTCAGGCTTGGACAGGTTAAGCACCAGTTTGACTAACACATCATTGAAGCTAGACCTAGAATAAATATCATCCTGAGCTTTATGATAGCTTCAAACACAAGAAGACATCATGCCTTGCACATCTGTAACTAATTAGTAGTACACCAAGCTAGTAATAACACCAATGTATAACATATACACTATAATCCAAGGGAGACTAGTGTGTATGTTTTACCAAAACAAGCTGAAAAGTTTCCTCCTAAAGCAGGTTGAATATTACTTTTCTGCCCCCTTTCCTTATTGGCTCAGAGCGAATACTGAGGCTCTCTGCCTGGATTCCCATCCTAAGTGCTACATCTAGGAAAACGTTTCTGTCAGGTACAAGTTCCTGTAAAGTTTAGTTCAGTCACGGGGCTCCCTGCAGACCCTGCTTGGTAGGGAAGGAAGTCTTAGGAACACTAGGAGTCCAACTGTAGGCACCAGCCTAGATTTGAACCGGTGGTTGTGTAGAACGTCAAATAAATGGCACTTGGGAGGATAACATGGTAATCAATGTAAAGGTGTGGTGGTGTTCAGGAATGGTAGGCAGCCGGGGCACCTGGAACATGAAGTCTGGAGGTGAGGCCACAATACAGCTGGGCGGGAGAGTTGCAGGGAGGAACAGAAAAGTAGCTCGGGAGAGATTGTGACACACTGTGATACCATCAAGAAAGCACTTGACCTAAATTCCAAAAACAGCACAGAACATTAAACCTTCAGAATAGGAGGTGAACAGTTGACTGTCTGAAGGGTGGACAGAGTAGTGAGACTGAGGCTGGGCATCGGGTTTGCATTTACTGAGATGTCCAGCTACTGTCGGTAAGTTGCAGGACTGCAGAGTATCACTGAGCCCAGAGCAGAAGACGTATTTCAGAGGAAAGAGGATGTTCATGTGAGAATCTGCCTGCCTTGGACGTTCATGCAGGAATCTGCCTCCCTCACACAAAAACCTGTGTGTTTTAGGAAGATAGTCTGTTGAGCAAAGCTGAGATTGGGAGAACTTGAGCCACTGAAATTGACCGTATAACTAGGCCACAACAAAATGTCAGTGTATTTATCTCCCACCCAGTATACTAAAGTTAAACTGGCAAGTGTTCATGGAAAAAACACAAAATGTCTTTTTGAAGCTCACCACTCTTTAATACATAAAGTGAGGGCAAAACAGGGCTATATAAAACACAGAATTGGGGCCTGGAGAGATAGCTCAGCAGTTAAGAGCACTGGCTATTCTTCCAGAAGACCCAGGTTCAATTCCCAGTACCCACATGATAGCTCACAGATGTCTGTGACTCCAGTTCCAGGGGATCTAACACCTTCATGCAGGTAAAACACCAATGCACATAAAACAACAACAACAAAAAACCATACAGAAGTGAATATTTTACCATCTCGTGTATGGGGTAAATAACTCCATATATTTTTTTTTAAAGGAGATTTCTGTAGGTTAAATAAGTATTTTATTTTATTTGAGAAGAATGCAACTTAGGAAGTTGGAAGCCTGGTATGTGGCCTATATTGTGAGTTCAAAGACATCCTGGCCATATAATGAGGCCCTGTCTCAAAAACAAACACACACAAAAACTCAAGAAGCTAAGAAAAGAACAACAAAGTAAATTATGAAACGTGGAGGAAAGTAGTGTGTGAGATTCTTAGTATACTCCTGAGTAGTGAAAGACAAAAACTTCTCACCTAATTTGTGCTTCATTTATATGCCTGATACCAAAACCTAGGGAAGACAGAAAATGAAAGCTATTAATAATTTAACTTATAATACTAACCATAAAATTCTTAATGAAAAGGCCTCAGAGAGTTCTTTATATGTAAGAATACTGACAAGGAAAATATGATTATCTCCAAAGAAATTGAGCAAAGATCTTAGAAAATCCACAGGGAAAGCATAAATGGCTAAAAGAAAATCGCATTAGGGAGGTTAGGCTTCACAAAAAATAATTATCTCTATTCTATTTTCTTTTAAAAGATGATAACCAGGGGCTGGAGAAATGGTTCATCAGGTAAAGGCGCTCACTGCACAGGTCTACGACCTGAGTTCAAACTCTGCACCCACAGAAGGTGGAAGGAGAGAACAATGCCACAGAGTGGTCCTCTGACCTTAGGTCTTGTGGAAAAAAGAGTAAATTGTTCTTTAGAAAGGTGAAGTCAGTTGGGCCCAAATATAACAGGCATTTCAGATAGCCTCTCAACTTTTAATTCAGCAATTCCACTAACAGAATTATTTGTAAGGAAATCATGGATAAGGTGATGATTTCCAATAGGAATGTTGTATTCTATATTAAATATTGACTTTCTATATTATAGTAAAAAATTGAAATAATATAAAT